CTATGGAGTAGCCTTTATGGATCAGGCACATTCCAGGCATTGGAGCTGCAGTAATTGGTTCCTGCTCTTATAATATATATATATATATATATATATATATATATATATATATATATATATATATATATATATATATACACATACATATACACACACACTATAAGAGCAGAGATACAAATTGTAATAGGTATCATAAAATTGAACATGGAAAATAAAGCAACTAATTCTGCTTCACTCTTGAACTTGGCTTTGGAACAATGGGTAGCATGCTTTTGAACATGGGTAGGGTGCTTTACCCTAAAAAGGACCCTGTATTATGTTTCAGGGGACAAAATATGAAGACATAAAACATGTTTCTCATTTATTAGGGGAGATCCCTATTAAAATGCTGGTGGTTGAGGGTAACAAAAAAATCTAACCCAACATGGCCTTAAAAATAAGGAAATGTGTTAACTCAAATGAGGAAGGGTGGCAGCAGAATTGGTTAATCCAGGGGCTCTGCACATCACCAGAAACACAGCTCCTTTTCCTCTGCTAACCTTGGTGTGTTGGCTTCACAGGCAAGTTCTCCTCCTGGTCATCTAATGGCCACAGCAGTTCCAAGCTCCACAATGGCCAAAGGAAAGAGAGGAATGAGTCCCAAGGGTGGAAATCTCTCTAAGGAGCATCCCAGTAGATTTCCCCTTCAGTCTCATTAGCCAGAATTGCACTGCTCTTTCTGACTACACCAACCTCTGCTATGGGAAATGACTGTGGGTGGGAGCCAGGATCTCCCTCCACCTACATGGTCATGAGGCTGGGCTGGGGAAGGTAGATATGTATTGTAGGCAACAAACTGATTCACCTTTAGGAACCCAGAAGTTAGTTCAGAAGAAAGCCTTGGGAGGGCAAGAGTTTAGTCTGAAAGGAAAGCAGAAAGCAGATATAGCCTTGTATGTCATCAGAGGCTTATGGGATGGCATCATTACTGAAAGAATTAAAAATTACATAGGTCTGCAAAAGCCTCATTTTTGACAAGTGGGATCCTCAGTTACAGTAAATCATAAAGAAATTGGTCTTGTATAATATGTATCCTTGTATATAATACACACTCACACATACAAATAAGCCATTTTGTTGTTGTTCCTAATTAAGGCTAGGAAGTTAATTTGGAGACAAAAGACAATTCATTTTAAAATAAAGCAAGATAGTGTTTATTGTGTCAAATGGTTATTCTCTAAGAGAATATTTCTGATAATTGAATAATTAATTCATCCATCACAGAACTCTTTAAGGGAAAATAAATAAACTGGGGAGTAAAAATATAAATTTTGTTGTTATTTTAACAATTTCAGAGTTTTTCATGGCAAAGTCTTGGCAACTGAGTTAGAAAATAGCCCCCTCTAGTGACCAAAAATCAACTGATTGGTCACAAGAGCAAAAACGAAGCAAATTTTAAGAAAGCAGTTAGGAAGTAGGAGGAAGCTGGAAAAACTGGAAAAGGCTGCCTCCTTCAGGATAATATTGTCATTACACTTATTTTAGAAATCCCTGTTTCCCAAAATCTTGAAAACACACCCTTAGTTTTTGTGTGGTTAATGATTGTTGACTCTAATTTCCAAAGCACATTTATATTTGATTCATCCTATTGGAAAATTATTATTTTTTAAGAACTCTATTATTGGTTTTCTATATTTATAATACCCAGTATTATAAATATAGAAAACTTGCACAAAATGAAACAATCATAATAAACATTTTAACTCAATTTTCCTCAAATAGTACCAAGTATAATTAGATAGCTAATTGAAGTAATATTTTTGGAGGATAAGTGGGGATTTAGAAAGACAAATAAACCAGGAAATTAGGTATTCAAAGATGATTTCTAAAAATTGGACATTTTAAAATCAGCTGCCTTGAATATCACTTCCAAATTGCATGTACTATTTAAGATTATGGCATAGTCATGAATTATTATTTTAGGTAACTATGAATGATGGATAAAGTCCATACATGCTCAAGAGAGCATAAAGACAGCCATTTTTTGAAGATAGAAAAGAAAATCTTAGTGAGAAAAATTCAGATTTTAGTTTACCTTTAATATATGGAAATCTTTTGAGGCAAATCACTGATCAGCTTATTTGTATTTCTTCTCAGTCATATACAGAATGATTTTCTTAAAAAAACACATAACTTTGTAAAGGTAAAAGTAAATTTAATCTAAAACTAAAATGAACTAAGTTTAAGATGAACTAATGTGTGGATTCAGTTCACCTGAATAGCAACAGTAGGTTTTGTGCTTATTTGCTCTAACATTTATCAAGGGTTTTTTATGAGCCAGGCATTGTGCTAAACACTCTTGACACATTATCTCATGCGATATTATTGTTATATAATTCACAGTTCACAGATAAGAGACCTAAGGCTTAAAAAGTTTAAGCATTGTACCCAAGACTAAGTTGTGGAGTCAAACTTCACTCAGAGCTGGCTCATGGCCTCCTATGCACTGTGTTGAGAGCCAGGACTTTTATTTCTAGACTCACATACTCCAGTCCACAGCTTTTTAAACTGTATCCAGTTTGGTCGTGGGGATTCAGTTCAATCTGTGACAGCTGAATAAAGGGCACCCTTCCACATGATGGAATCCCCAAGTTGCTCAACAAAGACTTTGTTGTTAAGAGAGCCCACTGGGGTCAATTAAAGAATCAGAAGTAAAGGGGAGAAGAGTGTGGTACATTGACTAGAGAGGGAAAAGCCCAAGATTTATTTTGGGAAGATTCTTCATAGTCTTCTAAAGTGAGGATTTAGACTTTCTGATAAATTCACTTTCTATAAAGTATACCAATAAAATTGATAATTGTACTCTTCAGCATTCAGAATCAAATTTATTTTGGTTCAGTTCAGCCAAGGCTCTTTGGCTTTAGATCTGGTTTGGAAAGGAATAGAGCAGTCTGTTCTCATCTGGAACAATCCTGGGAGATGCATCCTCATCTTAATTCATCTATAAGTCACATCACAGTATTTTCTGTTTCCTTGATTTCCCAGCCAAAGGCCCTTCTGGAATAGAGCCATGCACAGAACAGGCACCAAGCTGATATTTGTTGATTGAGCAGACACAAAGAAATCTTAACTTATGAAGAGGAGTAAGCTAGATAAAGGAGAAAAATGATATTCCAAGGAGAGAGAACAATACATGCAGAAACAGGGCAGATTGAATTGTTATGGGAACAAGTGGCTAAATATGGCTAGAAATAAGGGTGCTAGATAGAAAAGTAGTGGCAGTTTAGACAAAGCCCACAAGCTTTGGTTTGAATTCTAGTTTACCTCTCACTGGCTGTGTGACTTTGGACAAGTCATATACCTCTCTGTATCTGCTTTATGAGATATTAGAAAGATTAATTATTGCATACGAAGTACTTAGAACAGTGCCTAAAACATAATAAGTACTCAACAAATATGGCCTCCTACTATTACCAGGGGTGGGTTCTGGGGGGGGTGTCTTATAAAAAGGGTCCTTACATAATAAAATTGCTGCCTAATGCTATTTTTAGAACTCTTTGTTAGAATCTTGTCCCTTGGCTGGAGCAAAGAGTCAATGCTAGGACTTATAGGGATTTCTTTCCAGAGACTCACCAATGGATCAGATAATTCCTTCAACAAAGTATCAGTGGGTTTGTAAGAAGTGGGGAGATGTGTGTGGTTTGAATTTTATGAAGGTCATTCTGGTGTCCTGGATAGAGGATAGATCAAAGAGGAACATGAAACAAAGAAGGTATCTGATGATACAGGGAAAAGGAAAAGAGAAAAAAAAGACAGTGCCACTGTTTGTTTGTTTGTTTTTTACAGTTTGCATAGACCAGGTGCTGGGTCTCCATAGGTAGGAGTCAAGAAAGTTACAGATGTTCACTAAAACAAGTGCACACTGGAACTAAACGTGTGCCAGATTTAGTGTTTTGGAAACAGAAAAAGGGTCTGTCACAAGTGTGTGTTGTGTCGTGTCATGTGTAACAGTGACTATACAAACATGGAGGAGGCCCACACCGTTAGGGATGGCTGGGACAGAGTCAAGGAAGAAAGTTAAAAATTTGTGGCAAAAATCATGGAAGTTGTAAGCCATGGAAAGACTTATAAGAAGTGGGGAGAAAGTGTGTGGTTTGAATTTTAGAAAGGTCATTCTGGTAGGTCGATAAAAGATGCATTGAAGAGGAACAAGTTGAAGACAGGAAGGCCATCGAGGGGGTACTTGCAGTAACCCAGATGGAAAGAGATGGGACTTTAAGCTAACTCAGCCAGAGCCAGGAGACATGGAGAGTGGAGAGAGCAACAGGTGAGGGGAGAAGGGAGAATCCATAAGACCAGCCACCTGGGTCCCAGTTATCAGGCCTGGGCAATGGGGTGGATAAAGATATCAGTTACTGAGAATGGGAAACCAGGAAAGAAGTGGCTTTAGAGGAAGGTGAGAGAGTTCAGTACATGATATCTTTGATTTTGGACGTACTGAGTTTGAAGAGAACACCAAGGACCTATGCCAAGTAGGTAATGGGCAAGTAGGCCTGCTACTCTGGCCAGAGATTGGTACCCTTTGATAGGAACACTGCCAGTGTATTCAACAGAGCTGTCAATACTTCTCGACTAAAGAACAATTTTTTTTTTGTCAGTTGTTTAAGATGCCTTCTATGCCTTGATTATAGATATTACTATTAAACAAGATTTAACTAAGCTCCATCTGGAAAATGGTGGAATTTTGAAATACTTTCTAGCAATTCAAAAGCATTATTATTTAATGTCAGACAGTAGTGACTGAAACAAAGACACGGCTGAAATCTGTACTTTGAGGATTTTATCAGTTGGTCTTCTTTGCAATGTTCTGCTTTTGACTAAATTTAAATTATATGATTATTTAAATGTGTACCTATGGGGATAGAGATCATCGTATGTTTATGCAATGTGTTTCTAGTTTTAAGCTTTTTAGTCCTTCAAAAATATTACTGTAATTGTAATTTTTCAACCTTCTCGTGTAGGTATCTCTGATGACTATATCACACCTATGTTTAGTTTTTATAAAAGTATTGGGGAATTGAAAATGACTCAAGAAGAGTATGCTCTGCTTACAGCAATTGTTATCCTCTCTCCAGGTAATTTCAGTTGTGCATTAAATTTTTATACCTTTTGTTTTTTTCCCTTGGCATAACAGTAATAGTGCTTATTAAAGGAAATTTGGAAAACACAGAAACATAAAGGACAAATAAAATGCTCTGTAGTTCTACCATTCAAATAGAGCCATTGTTAACATTTTAGTGTATTTCTTAATCTTTTTTTCCAAAACATCACCCTTGTGCATCCCGTGAATGCATGTTGAACATATACTATGTACTAGACATTAGGGATATGATAAGATACAACTCCCATGGGGCTCACATTCTACTAGTACAAAGAAGATAATAAATGATGAAACTAATAAAAATAAATTTTCAGGAGATAGAAAATGCTTCTAAAATGTAATGATGAGAATATAAGGAAAGAAAGTGGTGGGATAATGATATTTTAAATAGTGGTCAGAGAAGTCTTTTTTAAGTGGTTGACATTTGAGCAGGGTTATAAATGCATCAGGTGTGGTGATGCACATCTGTAATTCCAGCAGCTCAGAAGGCTTAGGCAGGAGGATCACGAGTTCAATGTCTGCATCAGCAATTTAGTGAGGCCATAAGCAACTTAGCAAGATCTTATCTCAAAATAAAATATATAAAGGGCTAGGGATATACCTTGTTGGGTAAGCATCACTGGTATTGAATAAATAAATAATAAATTATGTACTTCATATAATAATAATAGAGAACATATTATGCTTTTTTAAAGTTTATAGCTTGTTAATAGACCTTTTCCAAGTCATTCCAATTGTTTTACAGTTGTATTGATTTACAATTGTAAGCTGTATGATTATATTGGTAAAAGTTTGTTATAATGTGTGCATAATAATCCATTTTATGGATGTACAATTACTAAATCTTTACCATATGTTTATATAGTGTGATGCTTCCGATTTTCTTGTCTTAAACAATATTGATACCTCTGTACATAAAATTCACTTGTAAGTGTATTTGGGAGCAAGTAATGGCAGGTTTGTGCCATGTTTAGGATTTGTAAAGCATAATTATAATGCTTGCCTTAAACCATTTTTTTTTTTTTTTTTAGGGCTGGGGCTATAGTTGAGTTGATAGAGTGTTTGCCTCACATGCACAAGGCTCCCTGGGTTTAATCCCTAGCATCACAAAGAAAAAAAATTATTAAGCCATTTTTATGCATGGTATTGAGGCAGAAGCTAGTTGCTCTTTTTTTAAAGCCATAAACAGTGAGAAAGAAAGAAAGAAAGAAAGAAAGAAAGAAAGAAAGAAAGAAAGAAAGAAAGAAAGAAAGAAAGAAAGAAAAACTGTTGGGCAGAACCTCCTCCTAAAATTACACACATAGATATTCTTTAACCCAGCAATTTCACCCCTGGGATTATACCCATCAGAAAGGGTACTTATATCTATCACATGGATTACCTTCAGGGCCTTTGGTGGGAGGGGACATTAAAGGGGATTCCTGGGAGCATTAGATGTTCATATCTTGATATACATGTGATTGCATGGGTGTATATTAATTTGTACATTTTGAGTGTACATGTACATTTCCCAAAAGTTAACCTTGCTATAATATGCCAAATTAATGCTTTCCCACTTTTAAATTTTGTCACTTTATTTTAAACTCCAAAACAGATAGACAATACATAAAGGATAGAGAGGCAGTGGAGAAACTTCAGGAACCACTGCTCGATGTGTTACAAAAACTGTGCAAGATTCATCAGCCTGAAAATCCTCAGCATTTTGCTTGTCTTCTGGGTCGCCTGACGGAATTGCGGACATTCAACCATCACCACGCTGAGATGCTGATGTCATGGAGAGTAAACGATCACAAGTTCACCCCACTGCTCTGTGAAATCTGGGATGTGCAGTGTTGAGCTCCTTTCTACCCTTGTAATATAAATCTGATGTATGACTTTCCTTTATTTCATTTGTACCTGGTTTCACTCAAGAATCTTGATGAATATTTATGCAGTAATTATATAACTTCCACAGCTGTAAATATGGGGTTAGATAGAATTACTTCTCTATATTATATTTTACAAGGCTCCAGGGAATCCTACTTTCTAATTGGCATGCCCTGTTGCCTAATTAAATTGATTGTCACTTCTATTCTGTCTGTTGAACTGGGGGAAACCCCATTTTGCTCTTTCTCTTACCCTATTGCTTATATTTTGTTAAAGAGTTGTGTTCAATTTTAGCAATAAACTGAGCATAATGGCAAAAGGCTTTTCTCTGGGAACAAAATTTGACAAATATTTCTTTAAGTGATATAAGACATCCTGTAGAACCTGGAGGGGTGGTACTTTACAGAAAGATAAATCTTTATAACTAAATGGTCCTTTTCTCGTGCCTGGAGAAGTCATGGTGCACATTCTTTCATTCATAATAGCCCTGTGATCATTTCATTTTCTTTGAAGTTCAAAGAGAATAGAATAGAGAAAAGTTAATGATTTTCATGTAAAATATCCCCTCGAGGCATCCCTTTTCTCCCTAGTTACAGTCTTGACACTGCATTTACAAATTGAGAGCTGGCAGATAACTACAGTGAGGGAACATACCCTTATCTCTCTTAAAGTGCTCACTAGTGGCTCCAGTGTATACAATTAATCACTTTTGCATTTGTTTTGTTTTGCTATTTGAAAACACTCCTACAGCTGGGTGCACAGCTGTTGTATACTTCCCCCAAAGCAGGAATTAGTTCATTTCCTTCCTTCATTGTTCTAGGCTGCTTTCTTCTCCCCATTATTCTTTGGTGAATACAAAAACACACCTTCTATAAATGATGATCTTAAATCTTCCTTTTTCCTGAAGTCAGCCAAAATGGTGCTTGCTTAGCAAACAAAGAGTTTTTTTTTTTTATTAAAATACTAAAGCAACCCTGAAGTTCTAAAAATAAGTAGTCAGTGGAAAAGGGAGTGGATTCTATCTTGATACAACTAAGTGCATGCATTTTTTTTTTTTTTTGGTTAAACTCCATGAGGGATACAAAAATGGTTAAGACCCAGTAATCAACTGGAGGGAATGACCTGGGGTGCACAGGAAAGCGCTCTGTGGGCTTACCCAACTGGGGAAAGTCTTGGAGGAGGTGGCATTTCCTTTAGGTTTCAAAGGATAGCCCTGGATTCCATGGCTAGGAGTCAAGGTGAAAGAAGGGCAGCCACAACAGGAAGAAGGTGGGAATTATGCAGATTCCCCAGGAGACCAAAATTAATCTACAGGACAACAGCAGGGAGCACCATTCCTTTCTAAACTTTAGCTTCACCTTTGTAAAGTGAACATATCGGCCTCCAGTGATTAAAGGGATATAGTTGATTAATGAAGAGGCAAGTGAGAATATAGGCAGGCCCTCGGGGAGAGGGCTGGTGAGGAAAAGACACTTACGACAAATACATTTCTGAATGTCTCAAAGGGTAGATCCAGCTTTGGGGAACTGTGTGTGGTTTGGTGTCTCCAGATCACAAGGTATCTTTTGGGGGAAGTTGTGAGACATGGGGACTGTGGGGACGCTGGGAACAGAGCTAGAAGCTTAATCCTGTATATCTGGATTTATTAAAATGATTATGACCTTATAGTAGCAAACAATGATGCTTACCATATGGAAAACTAATTATGATACTATAAGAAATACATATTTTGGAGCAAAGGTTGTGGCTCAGTGGCAGAGCACTTGCCTAGCATATGTGAGGCACTGTATTTGATCCTAGCACTGCAGAAAAATAAACAGAATAAAGGAATGCTGTCCATCTACAACTACCAAAAACAAACAAACAAACAAATCATATTTTGATTTTGATCCTGGTTCCTGACACAGAGCTTCAAAAACCCTTGGAAATCCCTGAGTGATAGAGTTAATAGAATAATCTTTTGATATTTATAACAAGCTCCCTTTAACCATTCCTAGGTTTATTAATGAGGTGTCTCTTGGTGGGCCCCTAGATCACTTCAGGTTGGGTTACAACTAGAGGAACCAACTGAATGATTAAAGAGTGAAATTTTCAGCCCTAACCCCTGACTTCTGGGGAAAGAAGGGCTGGAGATAGGCTTTAATCACCAAAAGTCAATAATTTAATAAATCATGCTTATGTAATGAGATCTCCTTAAAGACCCCTGAACAATGAGATTTGGAAATTTAGGGGGTTGGTAAACACAGGGAGGTGCTCCTTCCCTCCCTCAGACCTTGCCCTGTGTATCTCTTCCATTTGGCTGTTCCTGAGAGGTATTCTTGATGATAAACTGGTAACAGTGTTATGCTCGAATTCGGGACCCCCAAAAGACCACCAGAGACCCAAGATTGATGTAAGCAGCAAAGAGGTGTGTATTGCGAGCTAGCTCGGTCCTCCGCGCGCACCCACAGCAACTGGTGATCCTGAGAGGCCCCAAGCCCAGGGTTTGCAGCAGTTTTATACATTCTTTGGAGAGGGCAGGGACTTCACATACATCATAGCATCTCTTAGCAAATCATCACACACCGCGGGAAAATCAAATAACAACTCTAAAACATGATTAGCACATTCACTGGCTGGAACAAGTTGGGTAGGGGTGATTGGTCAGTACAAAAGGGGTATTCATTTGAACTGATTGGTTTAAGCCAAGAGGGGTGTTCGTGCTGAACTACACGGTTTCTCAACACGTTATCAACCACCATACACTACTGGGAGGGTCATCTGGCATCCCAGGTATTTCCCTGTCTCATGCTGATTGGTGGCTGCTGGGGGGCTGCTATGGATCCCCACCTAGCCTGACTGAGTCAGGGACACCTGGCGAAGCAGATCTCTCCTGTTATTTGTAGATAAACAACTTAGCAGGGTGGGAATGTGCCTAGGAGTGCTCTGTGGGTCTTTCCAAGGACAAAGGTGATGTCCCTTCCTTGGACAGGCTTTGCTCTGAGGTAGAGGCTGGTTTTTCAACAGGACTGAGATGTTTCCCCAAGTACTTTAACAAGCTATTGAACCCAATTGGTTGGTCAGAAGTATAAGTGTTAATCTGGGGTTTGTGGCTGATGTCTGAAGTGAGGGCCATCTTATTGTCCTGAGCCCTCGAACTGTGAGATTGGCACTAAGTCTGAGTAATTAGTGTCAGAACTGAAATGAATTGAAGGACATCCATTTGGTGTCAGGGCTGGTTGAAGGAAATTTGTGTCTGTATAACTGTTTTTTAGGGTTTTTTTTTCTTTCTTTTTTTGTTATCAAGAATTAGAAACCAATTTCACTTGTTTCTTCTATAGTCAAATTTGTTTTCTCAGATATATTTTCTTTTTACAAAATTAGTTATTTTTCCCTGTCATGAAAAGAATAAATCCAGGAAACGATTATATATCACAATAGGGTGTTAGGTGACTGTAGTGGGTTTTATTTTGAACATTCTTGGCTTGGTCATATATTTTGGATGGATTGACTCCATTCCTAGCTCCGGAGTCAGAAATGTGACTCAAATAGGTAATCAGAGCATCACACATCTTGGGCCACAGTGATTGGTATAGGATTGGGCACGTGACCCATTTAAAGAAAATGAGATCTTTTGCTTGGGATATTTTCAGGAGGCCAGCAGTGCCTGGCATTTTCCTGTCTCTGTGCTGTATTATTGTTCCAAATTCTTCACCCTCTTTCTGTCATAGAAGTTTATGCCCAGTCCTTTGCCTTGTCAAATTTCAATGCCTCTCACCAAGTAGGTAGAACACACATCATGCCCACTGATGTTACGTTTGTCCTTGTGGCTTGCTTCAGGCAATGGAATGTGGGTGGAAGTGACAGTGTGCCAGTTCAGAGCTGAGGCCTTAGGAGATATCACATGTTTTTACTTGCTGCTCTTGTACTTCTGCTATCTGCTGTGAGAAGCATGTCCTGGATAGCTGCAAATACTAGAATAAGAGTCAGAAGGTGTGTACCTAAACCTGAGCTATGGTTTGAAGCAGCATTTCCCCACTTCCATCATCAGCTAACTTGCAGATCTCCAAGCAAGATAAAGCAATGTTCATTCTTATAAGCTACTGAAAATTGGGCATTGTTTTATATAGCATAATCACAGCAAAAAACCTCACAAATGTATGCTAATTCTTTTCAGATCCATCCCCCTTTCCCCTTGTTTGCTGTGTTCATACTGGGAGGGAGAGCTAACCCCTAACAGGCTGCATTCCATAGGTTCACCTATCAACTGGCTTTGGCAGGTTCAATCAACAGAAAGCATTGGTGAAAGATTGGAGGATGGGAACAAAAGGAAAGCCAAGCTATTTCTCCCTTGCTCTCTCAGATGGCATCTCTCATGTGGCTCCCAGTCCTATTGGGCAAATCCTGCCCTAATGCCTATGGCACTGGCCTCTGAACTCCTCTTTTTGACCTCCAGGCCCTGGGACTGTAGTGGCTGCGTAACATGGCTCATATCTGGGTTATCTTATCTGCTCCTGTTTATCTTTGCAGCTTTTCCATTTCCATAAAACCAAGTTCATGTTGAGTTTCCTCTTTTTGGAGTACCCAGAGTGATTTGTGTTTTCTAACCTGAGCTTCACTCTTCAGAGCTACTTGCCTTTTAAGGTTAGATTTGAAGCTAAGGGAATGTGGAACTAGAACTTCTGGAAACCATCTGGTAACCAGAGGGAATCTGAGAATAAAACCAACGTGAGAAGTAGAATCAACAGAGACTGGATTCTAGTGATATTATTTGAACTCTTATATCAAACTGGGCCTGAAGTTAGAAAGTTCTATGCTAGCATTTTAGTTACACACACCAGAACATCTCCTCCCCGGCTTGTTCCCTGGTAGAAATTGATGCTGTTTAGATGATAAGCCAATTAGAGATAACATAGTTTCCATGAAAGCCTGGCATGGGCCACACTGTTATTACTGTGACCACATCTCGTAGACGAGGTGGAGGAATGAATGGAGGGTGTATCTCAATGTAGTCATTCTTGCTCTGTTATCAGACTTTTATATTTCTCTCCAGATATAGGCTGCACAGGTTTCCTAGGGCCCCCATGTTACCACAAGTTTGGCAGCTTACAACAGACATTTATTATTTCACAGTCTGGAGGCCAGAAATCTAAAGTCAAAGTGCCAACAGAATCTTCCCTTTCCTCTTCCAGGCTCTGATAGCTCCTGGCATCCCTTGGTTTATGGCTACATAATCCTAATCTCTGTCTCTGTCTGTGCATGGTTGGTATTTCTTCCTCCACCCTCATCAGGAACTCTCATTGTATTTGGGGCCCACCTTAATCCAGTAACATCTTTTCT